TGAGCTGCTCCTGAGATGTGTTCCACTCCCAGGACAGCTAACAGCTGTAGCCCTATGGACGCTGCCGCTGCCATTGCCATTTCATCATTGTTTGACTACAGATCAGGGGAAGGATTTAGTATTGCTGACGTCTGCCTTAAATCTGACAAGGCTGAACAGGAGGAACAGTACACAGGAAGCGATATTGCTGTGGGGTTTACTCAGCCCTCAAGCAGTTACCAAAACTGTGGCCACTGAGTGGCTGTTGGATGATCTGCGCAAGACGAGTTTGGTGTTTGAATGCAGTTTCCAGTGGGAAGTTTGTATTTCACAAAACATGCAGCTAATTAGCACCTGCTGGGCTGCCTGTTGGCAGCTGGGAAGAAGCCAAAAATTAAATGCTTGTCAAAGATGAATTCACCTTTTATCCTCACTGGTTAGGGGAAGAGAGTGATAGGGAAGAAGTGCGTGGTTTTGCCCAGGCTCTTCTGTTCCTGCCTGCTCAGTGTGTCTGAAGGATTCCAAGGAGAGTGCGAGGTAGCCGTGGTACAGTGCCACCAGCTATCCTTGTCCAGGGTAAACGTGACGCAGAGCTGCTGGGTCTGTGGGAGCTGCCTTTGTGCCAGCAGTGAGTGGCATGTAAGAAGTTCTGCTTGGTCTGAGCTGACCTTCCATGGAGCCCTGCAGGTCTCTGCACTGTGCTCTCCACGGCTCGTATTCCTGGGCATATGATGCTGAGACATGCCTGCCGGGCTGATTTGCCAGGGTTCTGTGGTGAACAGAAGTAGCTGAAACTCCCAGACTGGAAATGACCCTCAAAGAATTAGAGAACTGTTTGAGTGGGGATGTGTCTGAGCTAATGAGTTCTGTTACACCTGAGCTGTCTGTGTGCCTTGGCCCTGGCAGCAAGAGGTGAGCGCGCACATACCTGTTGCTTGTAACAGGAAGGAGTTTGTCCTTGTAGTACTCAGAACATGTATACTCAAGCCCCTCCTGGGCCCTCCTTGATGCGCTGGTGTACGAGGCAGAGCACACCCACCACTATGTCCCTTCTTCTCACTTGCCAAGCAAGAGAGAAGTTGTGCCTGGGCTAGCATTGTGTCTATGTCCACGCCATGATTTCTTCACAACTTGGGAAACCATCTGAAAAAAAAAAAATCAAAACAAGCTGTTTGCATAGCTGTTGCCCTAATAAAACAAGCTTTCTTTTAAGCATGGGTTCATGTTAAAGCAAGGGCCACATGCAGCTGATGCCTTTAAAAAAAAAATAAATATATAAAATGGGTGGATGGATGAATGGAGAGAAGCTGACAGTTATCACAAACAAGATGTGCTCCCGTGAAACACTAGTCTTGGGTTGCTCTGTTCTTTGTTCTTTGCTGTGTTCAATCCAAGTAGGTCCCAATCAAGAGCTCTGTCCTTCTCCGTTAAGAATATGTCTACCCCAAAGAAACTCTGCGCTGGGTGCTGGCTGTTCCCACTGCTGTCCCGCCCCAGTGGAGATGTTTGGTGGCTGAGGTGCAGCAGACCAGGTCTGCTGCTGATCAGATTTGCTACTGTCAGGTGATGACTTAGTATATGTTGCTTAGAAGTTTAGCATCAATGCATACAACATCAAAACTGGTTTGGTAGCCTTTCTGCCACTGTTCTGTAGAGCAGGTTTTTTAATCTGCCCAGAAGCTCCTGCATGAAGGTAGAACGTGTCAGTTATTGCCTAGATCATGGGGATACCAATCATGTTGTTTATACACTGGAGCAGTCTCAGTGGCTTGGGTCTTGAAAACTTGGCCTTTCTTTTACCCTTGCAAAACTTGCTTTCAGTCCTTGACAGATCAGTATTCAGCCAGTGGATGTGCACAAACCCTGTTAGTTGAAACAGGGAGGAATTTTTCTTTGTAGCATGTCACATGTACTTGCACCCGTTATTATCACTCAGTACAGATATATGTAAGGCAGAGTATACTCATCACCTTTTCAATTTCTTACTTACCCTGGAGAAAGCATGCTCCATCAATTAACTTTACATAATGCATCTGCTTTCCTGGTCCCTGATTTTCAGTCATAGTCTGGAGATGAACACTGCTTTGTGTCCTGCAGGTAGCTATCTGTGACAGTAGTCTTTGTAGTGGTGATCTCAAGTGACTCTTCACCTTGACCCAGCTGTGGTTAAAGATCTTGCCAGTGGTTCTCTATTGTAGGTGTCTTCATTGTCTTGTGCAAGGCTGGAGATCAGCCACAGCAGCATCTGCTGATCCTTCAAACCTTGCCCCAAGAAGATACAGAAGCTCCTTCTGAAGGAGGTCTTGTCCTTCCGTCCTGGTGCCAAATGCAAGTGCCCACCTCAGCAGCAGCATAGTGTCCATCTTCTAGTGGAGTTCCAGTTCAGTCAAAAAGATGTAGTGCCTCTCCCCTGCACAGGCCATTAGCTTTTCCTGCTGGTGCTCATGGCTCCTGCTCCTGGCTTCCCATGCAGGTGCTAGACTAGAATAACAGGCTCTGAGGGCATCGGTGTCACCTTCATTCTTGCTGCACGTCAACACTTGGGAGTGAAGTACTTTGTTTTTTATTGAGCTTTATTCAGCAGTTTTGAATTATAGCACTGTGATTTGTGCAACTTCCAAACCTCTTGGATGCCAGGAGTTGCTGGACTGTGGGGGCTGCTGAGGAGATATGTCCCATTTGGCCGTTCATAATCTGGACTGAAAGTCCTATACTGTTGTTTGTTTTGTTTGTGTTTTCCCTCTGGATGATGGGAATGGGGAGCATCGCCATCCCAAATGCTGCCATTTCGAGTCCTGAAGCAGTCGTATTTCATTCCTGAGCATTCACTATGAAGGCATTACTACTTAGCTGGCAAGATGAGAAAACCAGCATTATTTGACTGCATTAGTCAACTGTATTCCTTTAATGTGCTTTTTAATATAGTATAACGGATGGTCTCCAAATAGTGCGGGTGTTAACTTGTGGGTGGTTAGGCAAACCTGGTGTAAGAAAAGCTTGGTAGATGGAAGGCTGCAGCCCTTGACATGCAATCCTTTGATGTCTTTTTCTGAGAGCGTGGGAAAACAGGCGCAGTAACATATACTGTCCAGTAAAAGTCAACGTACGAGACAGGCCAAGGAGAGGACTGTGGCGTGGTGCCATTCGAGGTCACAACAACCTACTGCTGTTGCAGCAGACTTGGGGAAATAGCGTTCCTGTTGGAGAGGGAGCCTGCTGCCAATGTGTCAAAAGAAATTCTTCCAATGAAGGAAAACTAAACAAAACCACTGTTTTGTTAGCAAAGTGAGTTGTTTTTACCCTACAGATTGCCACTTTCCTTACTCCACTGCAAAATACGATCTTCTGAAAGAAATCACAGTTCGCAGCTTGTAATGGTTGGCAGGGGCTGTCACTAATGCCATGTCAAAAACTTCCCCAAATCTGGAAGTAACCGTCAGAGTTTTCTGTTTATCACCTTTGTTTGTCTGCCTTGTGTCTCACCAGTTTGTTGTCAGGTTCAAAGCTGTTTGGCACTTGGGCTGCCTCCAGCTTGCATGTTCGTCCCACACCCTCGTCCTGTAGTTTCTGCAGAAGGGTGTAGTAAATGAGAACAGGACTCCTTATTTGAAAGGGACTCCCCTAACTGCTGATTGCAGTTAAGTAGTTTCTATCAGGAAAACTATTTAAGCTCACTGTAAACAATCACTTTATGTCAGTTGTCTTAATGTTCCCGTGTCATTTTTAATCTTTCATAAATAAAGATTATTTATTCCTTTTGACTGGTTGTTTCCTAAGAACTTTTGAACAAGTTGACTGATATATTTAAGGGAAGGGTATGATAGATATTTACAATCACCCGAGGAAAGTGGAAGGTGACTAATTGTTTGCAGTCTTTTCCAGTATAGGTGAAGCTCAGAGAAGCCATATTCAAAATCATGAAAGGGAAGCGACTGAAAGTCCATATGGATCCAGGAGGATCCTTGTGGAAGAGAAATCACCCAGGGTTGCCAGAGACATAGAAGCTATACCTGACTCATGAAATCCCTGATTTGAAAATAATTAAATGATGGAAGAGAATTTCAGGGAAATATTATGTCTGTTTGATTTCTTCTTACGTTCCTCTTGGGCATCTGCTTAAGGCCACAGTTAAAGTCAGAATTTGGAGACAGATGGACCTTTTGTCAGACCCAGTACAGCCATTCTGAAGTTACTGGTGCGTTTGTAAATCCAGGCTAGCCAAAGCATTGCTGCTTCTTGGCCCTGGATGGGTCATGGTAGAGGAGTTTGGACCTTTGTGGGGGTGAGAGGTAGAAAAACTGGGGACAAAGGACAAAATCTAGAAGGAAGCAGACTTGAAAATTTCTGTAGTCTATAGAATTATTTATGTGTAATCATTGTGCTTCTACAATTTAATACATTTAACTTGTGTGTGTGTCTATGCTTGCATAACTTATACCAGCTGGTTGCTGCAGCGTTGACTGGGTATCAGTGTAGGTTGTGGTTCCATGGGCATTTCTTTAAGCAGCTGTGATGGTTTAATTGGATTCTGCCATGAAGAAAGCCAGACTGAGGAACTGAACCTAAACTAAAAGTAACCCAGGAAAATAAAAAGCATCAGTTTTAATCTGGTTCTGTTCCTGCATCTAGTTAACCACTAAGCTGCATAAAAGCTTGTCTGAAAGCAAGCCTTGACAGTGATACTGGCTTTTTCATGTCTGAAGTGTTTGTGAAACCGCAGTCTCAGGGAAGTGGGTGTGAAACCGCTGTCTTAAACTGTATTGCATTTGTTCCCTGTCGCTCTCTCTGTGCAAGGCATTTGCACGCTGCATCAGAATTCAGCACATAACACGTCTTTGCAGCCAGTGTGTGAAGGTCATTGTCCAGAGAAAATAGGAATATGCGAGTTAAAGTGTTTACTCCTAATGTGAACCTTATTTCAGTTCCTCCAAGTGATGGTTTCAGATGCTTTGCGTTGCTTTTTTTTGCATTTCCATTAGAAGTGAGAACTTGTTCCTAATGCTTTCTTCCTTTCTCCCTAGATAATCTGATCAAAGCCATCCTGTCAGCAACCAAAGATTACCGTCTAACTCCAGCTCTTGACAGGTAAGATGAGACCTCTTAGAATAGAAGGAGTATAAGTAATTATTTTCCACATAATAAATAAATAAATACATTTTGCTAGATATTTTTGCCAGAAATTATTGCCAGTAAATTTGGCTGTGCTTTGGAGGTAGATCAGGAGCTGAGAACAGTCATCTTTCCAGTAAATCTGTAAACTCTGGAGACCTCTGTTAAATCAAACACGAGTAGAAAAAAGCATTTACCTTTTGAGTATTTCCTAATCTTTTGTTTCATATGGTGTCACAATACACTCTCTTGCCCCTTTTTCAGATTAGTAAATAGCAGGTTTTCAGTAAATGCATTATTCTTTTTCAGCCTTTCTGACAAAACAACAGGATCACAAGAAACTCTTAGA